CCAGGGAAGCCCACATAAGACTAGTACCAGGTCACTTAGGAATTCATGGCAAATTAGAACCCAGCAGAGTTGAGATGGGTAAAGCAAATGCAGTCCTATCAGTGCTGTTGCAAATTTTACAATAAGGATGCGTCTCTCCTGCCAATTCTTCCAGGTTGAAGTCCTTACACTGCTGGCTATTTCCCAGAACCTCCAAGTGTTCCTAGCTACAGTTGACACTGTGGAGCGATGGAACCATTCGTCATGTATTAAAACCGTTCAGTTTCCAATGGAATGCTTATTACCCTTCTGACTGGATGGATGTGGGATGTGGCGCCAGTGGAAGCCCTGTTTGGTGCTTAGTAATATTTACACTCAGAAATGGGAAATGCTGCTTAGCAGATTGGCTTATCAAGCTGGACAGCCAGTCATACATGTAGAATTAGCCATGTGACGTTTTTGGTTGGATCATTCTCTGCTTACTGAAGCCATTCTGCATTACAGCCTCTTTGTGTGCTAACATCTACTCAGTCTTTTGTCTCCATTGAATTGGTCCAGTTTTGTTTTTACTATCACAAAAGACTTTTGTTGGAGGAAAGCTAAAAGAATGATAAAACTAGGAAATTTAAATCAGGTATGGGGAAGGTAATGTTCAAACCTCTACATGTGCACATTCAAGAGCCAATGATTCTTATGTGGGATAATAATTTTGGCTTATCAGATTTTACACATGTGTGTATGGGTGATTGCACTCAAGTCTGTCATGCATGAGTGTCATGGGGGCACTTGCCCCCTCCCTCCCCTGAAAAAAAAAGAAAAATAAAACTGGGGGAAAAAGAAAAGAAAGAACAAAAGAAAAGAGAAAAGGAGTGAATGGGAAGGAGATCACCAATTGGAAAGAAGATACCTTAGAATTGAGCCTTTCTACCATCAATGAGTTGTCACTTTGCAGACAATGAGTACTCCCCTTCCCCCATAAAAATCCTAGTAAACACCCATGCTGTAATATGTAAAAAGAAATGACTTCCACTGCAGTCCTAGGTTTGGGGAGTCCCATATTTCAAAACAAGAAATGTTCAACTTTGATTGCAACCTCTCTGTGATTTGCTCGAACGCTGAAGGTTGTTTTATTTTGGAGCGATCGAGAATCATCCAAGTTTGAGATGTGTACGTGAACAGTAAAGTGTCAAACTGTCTTGTCCTATTGCTTGTCATCTAAAAGTAAGTTTTTCACAGTTTTTTGAGACGTGGTTTGAAGTCCAACTTCCGCCTTCATGAAATTGAAGCCATGACAATGTTCTCTCTAACTGTAAACATTACTCTAGTCCTACTTTATTTGGACAAAACTTCATTCCTACCATTCCAGGAATTTGTGGGTCCTTAAATTATCATTTGATACAACTCAGTGTTATTACTTGAATACAAAGAATTAATGTGCCATGTATAAATTGAAATAAATCGTTTTCCTTTGAGATAATAAGTGCAACTGTTTGAGTACAAGAAGATATACCGCAGAAAAAGACCAGAAATATTGCTGAAAAACAAAACACAATCATTTGTGTTACAATGGTGAGCTTGTTCTTTGTCAGGGAAAATAAGTACATAACATGTACCTGCTACAAATTAATGGATAGAGTTGTTTGCAACTTGTTTGTTTGTAACCAAATTTACAAATGATTTATGGAAGTGTAGAGAAATATAGTAATGAATTATCCATTTCATTCAAAGAGTCCTTTCCAGAAGTGAGCTTTTTTCCCTGATAGACTTTACACACATACATGTATTAATATATATTCAAAGAAATATCTACGTTGTGTGTTTGCTGTTAGATTTTAAAATTTGTGCCATTGTGATTTATTTTATGTTTTAATCAGTACAGATATTCCTGTTTTGTACTGAAGTGATTTTGCCGTTGATGGACATAATATTGTAGACTATTATAGAGCAAACTTCCAATATTGGTAATTAAATGAAAAAATGAAGTGATTTATTGTGTATTTTGAAAGTAATGGCTGAATTTTTGAGATTTTTCTGCTAAGAAAAGAGGTTTAAAGGCTTCAGAACTGAAGTATTTGCACATTGTTGTCAAATAGTAATTTATATTTATTACTCATTGTTGTGGATGAATCAGATTTATATTTTTCTAAAATTTTCAGCCAAGACAATTGAAATACAAACTGCATGTGTTCCTAGAACACGATTTGAAAGGCCTGTCATCACCACATTCCATGTAGTAGGTAATTGTCGATCAAGTTTGAAAAGCAACGTAATAACCTTTTTAGGTAAAATGAAAACAAAAAAAAAAAAACAAATGAAATGAACTGAAGCAAGATGTAAACCCTG